GGTGAATGCACTATAGGAGTTTCTTAAAAAAAAAAATACTGCCTTATGGTTAATTATCTGCACACCAGTGTTTATTCATGTTATTTGTAGCCATCAAGATATGGAACCAACTTAGATGTCCATCAACACTTGAAAGGGTAAAGGAAGGGTGGCACTCAATGGAATGCCATTCATCTGTGAAGAAGTAAGAAGCTGTAGCATTTACTGGACAGATGGAGTGGAGGTCATTATCTTAAGTGTAATAATCCAGACTCAGGAAGCCAAGTATTCCACCGTTTCCTCTTGCACACAGAACTTAGATTTAGATGTGTATTTACACATATGTAGATGGTGGAGGTAGAAAAGGGACAAGAGAGGGAAGCGGAATATATCACATGAAAACCAGGGGTGGTATTTAGAACGAGGAAGCAGACCAGCTGAATGGAGATGTGTGGGGAAATGAGGGCAAATTATGATGGATGTGTGTGTATGTATGTATGTATGTATATGTATGAAAAGGTCAAAATGAAACCCATCTAAAAAAGAAAATGTCCAGCATCTTGCTGAAAAGCAGTGAGTCTTTTCAGATTTATACTACCAACTCAGTCAAACTGGAAGAATTCAGTCTCCCCACCCAATTCAGATTCCTTATTTTCAGAGGAAAATGGAAAAGTTCTCAAGAATAATTCTGAGCTCACTGTAGAAATTTAAATACAAAATGTTAAGTCTAATTTTTGTTGCTATAATGACATACTGGGGTCTTTGTAAAGAAAGTAAGTTTATTTGGTTCAGTTTTGGAGGGTGAAACTACAAGACTGGTCTTCCTGTCTTTCTTCTGGAAAGGCACAGACATCTTTGGAGGTTCTAGACAAGAAGCTGGGTTGGCAAACATACTGTTAAGGTGGAAGGCTTAATTATAGGAACATGGGGGTCTTGCACTTCTGTGTGTTATAAAAGTTCTTCTAACAGTAAATTAATAAGCAAAGACCACATGTATATAGAACACCACCACAGAATCTAACTTTAAATTTTTATTTTATGTTCATTGGTGTTTTGCTTTCATGCATGTCTGTGTGAGGGTGTCGTATCCCTTGGAACTGGAGTTACAGACAAGTGTGAGCTGCCATGCGGGTGTTGGGAATTGAACCCAGGTCCTCTGGCAAGCCATCTCTCTGGTCCCCAGAATCTAACTTTATTGGGTTATTTTGTTTTCTCGTGACATACATGTACTTGAACCTTCCTATGTAACTAGAACAGCAGTCTTGACCCCCTTGAGAAGCCTCTGTCTCCAGAAATATTTACATTATGATTCATAACAGTAGCAAAGCTACAGTTATGAAGTAACAATGAAATAATATTATGGTTGGAGGTCGCCACAACATGAGGAACTGTATTAAAGGGTTGCAGCATCAGGAAGATCGAGAACCACTTAACTAGAGGATGTGGAGAGCTTAATCATTTACCGAAGATTCTTTTCCCCTAGTACTGACTGTCCAGAAACATGTTTTGAGAGTCTATTTCTGTCGTGTGTCCCACTCTCAGACTGCCCTCAAGTGCACAGACCGGGGCAGTGTCATTGGATTTGGGTCCCTGTGCTCATAGCTAGGCACATTCAGACTCAAATAAACTGATTTGTTCTCACAGTTTTAACTCTGGGGTGTAGTGTTCTCTGTAGCATTGGGGAGAAGTCCTGAGATAGCTACTGAATTTTCCAGGGACATTGTCACCGGGAGACACATCCTAAGCTTAACTGGAAGCGTGCCATTTCAGGAATGCCAGAGCACTTCCGAAAGCAGCAGAGGTGGGCCTGAGAGTGGCTTTATGGGAGCAGACTGTGGTTTGAAGGTCAAAGCCCTGGGGGATGGTACACAGAACCACCCTGGAGAGGGCCAGAGTCTGGTAAAATGCACAGTGCAGCTCCATCCCATCGGTGCCACAGGGTCACCATGGTCACAGCAGCTGGCCACTTACCTCTCACACCATCCTGGCGGAGCCCTGCTTGACCACAGGATGTGTGGCCATCCACAGATCATATGATTCTGTAGGAAGCCTCCCACGGACTCTACTCAATTGGCTGTTTCCTAGCAACACACCCACCACACTGTCCACAAGCCCAGAGATGGCCGACAGCAGCTTAGTACAGACAAAAATCTGCCACCAGCATCTCACGAGGGGTCTATCAACCTTCTTCAAAGGTGGCTCATTCCCGGCACTTCCTGGTGGAGACCTGCAGCACTGTAAAAGCAAAAGCAATGCTAGAGCCCCTCTTGCCTGAATACCAGTGTCTCAGATGGAGGCTTCTCTGCGTGTGTGTGTGTGTGTGTGTGTGTGTGTGTGTGTGTGTGTGTGTGTGTGTGAAGAGCAGTCCAGGAGCCATGCAGATGTTGTCACAGTTAACCTAGGCTGTTCTAAACACTACACCAGTCATTCACATCTACAGAGCAAATGCTTGTCTATTAACATGGTGTGGATGTTAGTCAACATCGTATAATGGTTTCTTCCTCCAGGGTCACCACCCAAGAGCAACTGTCAGATTCAGGGAGGGAAACAAAGGGTAAAGCTAGTCTACAACCACAACTAACTGTTATTAAATGGCAACTGTAAGCCCCAGGTAGGGATGTATGTGTGTACACTACAGACTGCTGGACCACCACCACTCAGGCATCACTGGTTATTCTCATGCAGCATCAGATTATTGTCGGTTGCTTTTCCCACTGAGTGCTTGAGAGGAACACTCAGGTGATACTTAGAGCAGCATCCCCCATCCACTCCCAGAAATCCATCCTAACTCCTCAACCCACCATTTTTTTTTTTTTTTTGTCAGTCTGATAAAAATCTACCAGGAAATCCAACTGAAGCCTGTAATTCCTAGAGGGTCTCACTGTTGTGTGCGGTACCTCCCTCCCTCCCTCCCTCCCTCCCTCCCTCCCTCCCTCCCTCCCTCCCTCCTTCCCTCTCTCCCTCCCTCCCTCCTTCCCTCCCTCCCTCCTTCCCTCTCTCCCTCCTTCCCATTCTATTTTATCCCTTTACTCTATTACACACGCTCTGTGTTTCTTATTTAATAAGACGGTTGGTTACATCTACACACACCAACTTCTCTCTGTTGTACTCTATTACATCAACATTTGTGTTTATATCTTTGGAATGTGTATGTCTTCGTGTGTGTTTTCGTGTGTGTGTGTGTGTGTGTGTGTGTGTGTGTGTGTGTGCATGTGAAGGCAGGGGAATGTCTAACACACTCCACCTTTCTTATTTTTATTTTGTGTGTATTGATGCTTTGTCTGCGTTTATGTTTGTGTACCATGTGTGAGCCTAGTGTTTAAGGAATCCAGACGTGGGTATCAACTTCCCTGGACCTGGAATTACAGACAGTTTTGAGCCACCATGTGGGTGCTGGGAATCGAACTGTGGTCCTCTGGAAGAGCAGCCAGTGCTGAATCCCTGAACCCCCTCTCCAGCTCCCACCCCGCCTTAATTTTCGCTGAATGTAGAGCTCATTAATTGGATAGGACTAGTTGGTCATGCAACTTCTGGACTCACTCTTCCCGTCTCTTTGTTCCCAGCACTAGGATTTCAGGTGCACACTACCGCCACTGACTTTTTATGTGGGTTCTGGGAATCTGAACTCCAATTGTGTGCGTGTGCCCGATGTTTCACTGACTGGGCCATCTCCCTAGTTCCTTTTTGTAATAGAAATCTTTTTAAAATTCCATTCTATCTTCTGGGAAGTCTGAACTTTCCATTCTTTTTTCTGTCTCTCGTGCCATTGACACCTTTGTTCTGTGATAACTAATGATAGATAATCACTCCTTGCAGGGAGAAGGCTCACTGGACAGCACACACCACACCTCTCTGAGGCAGGCAGGGTTGTGTGTGGTCATGAAGACAGAAGGTGTCGCTTGAGCCTCCTCTCTTCCCACAAAACCACCAGTATTCAATCACTGAGGCTCCACTCTGACCACCCAATCCCAGTCACATCCCCAGAGCCCTTCCACTAAATGACACAGATTAAGTTTTCACCCTCTGAATGGTTGCCGGGATTAGACACGAGCATTCAGAGAACACGTGATACTCAGAGCATAGCGCATCTGGGTTTTTCATCAGTGCCAGGGTGCTGCAGGTTGATAGCCCGGATGCTTGGGTTTTGGAGAATAGTGCCTAAAATAAGCAACACGGGGCTCCCCAGGGAGAACAAAGGGCTCTCCTGGGATGAGCATGTGAGCGGAGCTCCCCTGCAGGGGCTGTGGAATTTCATCTGACGCATTTGGGCTTTTAAATTTTCTTTTTTTTCCTCTCCTGCATACCAAAATATCCATACCATTTTCCAGTTAACTGCAGCTTTACTGTACTGTATTATATTCTTGGAATATTAACAGCACACACCAACGAGTATATTTTTGTATGTAAATTTACACTGCCATTCATATTTTCTCACTCATTCCCCTCCGTTGGCCTCATAATAGAATAGAAAGCCTCCTGTTGGCTAAAGGGTTAATGATGTAGCTTTGGGATTCCCTCTCCGTCCCCCCCCCGCCCCCTACTCCCCCCCAGGCTTAGCTTGCACAGGTGTTTTTATTTCTTTATTAGGAAGAGTTCAGGGAGAAGAGGCTAGCCTTTGACTGTGCCTTCTGTGTGCATTCATAATAAAAGCTGGTACATTCATGGCTGCTCCATGATGTAGAAGAACCAGTGAATGAAAGTTTGGGTACAGCTCACCTCCAAGAGAGTGGTCCTGCTTCATCCGGCCCTGACCTGACCGGTCTCCAGCACCCTTATAAAGCTAAATTTCCCCCTCTCTCTACACAGGCTTGTCTCTTCCTCCTAGCATTTTTTGTAATCAATCTGGGTGGTGTTATTTTTTTTTCTTTCTCTCTCTCTCTCTCTCTTTTTTTTTCCCACACTGCTGTTGGATAAAAGATCCCGCCCTTGATTGAAATGGAATCTTCCACTATTGAGCGAGCCTTTGTTGAATGAGTCATCGGCGCAGCCGCTCATTGGCTGAGGCCGCCTGAGCCCAGGGGATTGCCTGGCACCGGCTGCAAGGCCCCGCTCCATTCACAGAAACGCTGGCTCGCTCGCTGGCCCTTTCATTCACACAAACAGCATCTCATTCACATTCTGTCGTTTTTTTTGTCTGCTTCTAATGAAGACCACGGTTTGGGAATGGTGGGGCTGACTTGCTTCAGATTGGAGGGGGACTCTAATCACCATCGAAATCGTCCGTGGGGTGCGCATCTGCTGTTGCTATGCAAGCTAGGGGAAGGGAAAAAAGAGAGTGCGGGGTGGCTGCTGGGCTAGGGCTGCGGCGCGGTTGGAGAGCGGTGGGGAAGTGTTTGCTGCGCCAGGGCCGGCCTGGCTGCTCTGCGCTCCTCCGTCCTCTGAAGCCTGCCTCACCCGCGCTCCCGCCATGGGTGGCTCTCCCTAAACTCCGTTCCTGGGGCTTCCAGAAAGCCTGGGAACCTCGCAGCCACCTAAGATCAGCTCTGGGCGTGAGAAGACTCAGGGTGACCTGCTAGTGTGCTGGAAGGCAAAAGCATTCGCTTGCACAGAAGTTACCGGGAAACTTTGACAGCGACTGACTTCCCTGTGGTGCAGGTTATCGATCTTAACGCATGAGGCCACCTGGCAGAGGCCACAGAGGAAGGGGTCAGTGGGTCTCAGAATCTTGGACAGACCTTCGGGGAGGCTGTCGATGTCCTGTTCTCCTAAACGCCAGGAAGAAGGCCTGTGTGTGTCACTGCAAGCCTGAGCCTGATTCCCAAGGATGAGGCCGTTCTTGCTGTGGATTTGATGGGCAGTTAGAGCAGCCGCATTTTTTTCTGCCTGACTGCAGGGCTGCAAAGCAGCAACTGAAGGGACATTGAAATGGATTGGTGGTGTTCCTAAGGCATGCTTCCAGGGCTTAAACACATTCAGTTGGAATAAAGCTCAAAACGCAGCCCTCTCTCTCCCTTTTTCTTTTTGGCATGGATTTCTGGAGCCTGTTGCCGCGCATCATAGAAGCACTATTCTTTTTTGGAAGTAGATTTTCAACTTAACCCTGACTGAGAAAGGCTGCTGATTGCTGTAAATTATCAGGGAAGACCCCTTGAGCTGTACTGAGAAGGAGTTCATGTGCAGATTTGGTTTTCTCGTGTGTTATCTGAGGAATTGCTTCGCCACAGACACTCGCCAGCAGACATTCATGGCTGCTCTGTTGATCTGAACAAGAAAAGCAAACCACAGGAAATTGATGCTTTTTAAAAATATTCATCTGATGGTGGAGGGTCCCCTCTTTTTCTTACTTAAAAATTCTTGCTCCTTTCCAAATCAGGATCCATCAGGATTCGCCTGAAGATTTCTTAAGAAGCCTTCGTCACATTTTAACGCATCGCTGTCAGACACTTCTGGGGCTCACCCACATGAGCTGAGCAAAGGAAGAGCAAACCCTAACATGGAATAATGGATTTTGGAAAGTTCAAGAGATCATTTGAAGGAGCTGGGTTTACCTTTGGCACAAATGCGGGATGGGGAAGGGGTAGGTGAAAAAGCAAAGATCGGAAGGAAATATCTGCGAAGGTAGAAAAAGGAAATTTGAGAACTGATTGGCTGTAGTTGCTGACAGCGGGTGGATGTCGTTTTCTTCTCTCTCTTTTTGCTACAGGAAGTGGTTTGCGGAGCTCACCGAGCCTTTGTTGAGAAGGGTCTCCTCAGAGTGAGTCACGCTTTTGCTGGGAGCAGCCCGGTGCAGCTGGGCGCTCCATCAGCGGCAACTATGACTTTTGCAAGGCAAGCGTTCCACCCCAACCCGTGGTCTCCCGGGCCCGCGCTGCGTGTCGGCTGCTCCGCTGCCTTGTAACGGTGTGAGGGCTCGGTCGTCGGCCTCGGCTGTCCCTCTCCGGAAAGGTTGTCCTGGGACCCCAGCTCCTGGTCCCTCTCCGGGGCTCGCGGCTCGTGTGCTATGCGCGGCAGCCCGCGCCGGGGCCGGCACCAGCAGCGCCCGGGCGGATGCGGCGAGCTCACGGAGGGGCATGCTTCCACGCACCAAGTACAACCGCTTCAGGAATGACTCGGTGACATCGGTCGATGACCTTCTCCACAGCCTGTCGGTGAGCGGCAGCGGCAGCGGCGGCAAGGTCTCGGCGGCGCCCGCGGCGACCCCCTACCTGGTGTCGGGCGAGGCGCTGCGCAAGGCGCCGGACGATGGGCCCGGCAGCCTGGGCCACCTGCTCCACAAGGTGTCCCACCTGAAACTCTCCAGCTCCGGCCTGCGTGGCCTGTCGTCGGCCGCCCGGGAGCGGGCGGGCGCGCGGCTCTCGGGCAGCTGCAGCGCGCCCAGCCTGGCGGCCCCGGACGGTGGCAGCGCGACCCCCGGGTCCCGCGCCCAGGCCGCCAGCATGAACGCCCCCAGGAAGAGCCGGGCCGGCGACGAGCCGCTGCCCAGGCCCCCGCGGGGCGCACCTCACTCCAACGACCAGGTGCTGGGGCCGGGAGTCACCTACGTGGTCAAGGTGGGTAACTGGAGCATACAACTGGGCGAAGGTCCTGGGGCCGGGGTACATGGGGGAGTTGGGGCAGCTGGGGACAGATGTCCTTCTATGAAGCCCCAAGGTGTGGGGAACACAGACGACGGTTTGGATATGAGGAAATGCGCCCTCCTTAGCCATCCTCTTGCTTGACAGGGCAAGGAGTGAACTACAAATGTACCTTTCGCTTGTGGCGGGTGGAGGTAAAGGTTGAACTGTCTGGTCCCCTCGCATGGGGCCTGCTTTCCCCAGGGCACTGTTGTTGAGGTCTACTTCTGCCACCTGGCTTCATCAGAAGTCCTGCCAGTGTCCCCTCTCTCTCTAGGCGTCTACCCTGAGATCGTGGTCTGGCCTACCAGAAGTACACTAGTCAGACCCGGTAGCTACCCCCCACCCCCACCCCAATGCCACAACTTCTGTGTCCTCCCCTGGCGGCGGGGTGGGCCAAATTCCCCTCCAGAGCAAGACCACCCAGCTTCTGGAGGGCAGGGCAGAGGCAGCCTTGCTTCCTATAAGATGGGTTCTAGTGTTTTACCTGGAAAGGTATTCTTTGGCCCTGAACTGTTTTGGTTTACTTCAGTGGAAGGAGTAGTTGGAACTATTTTTTCCGGTGATAATTGTATTCCCTTTAAATGGACTAAGAGGGGATGAGACTGTGGCTCTTGGACCCACAGTCTGGAAAGGACTTTTTCTTGCAACACAATGAACGATTTTATACATATATGATTACACACACACACACACACACACACACACACACACACACACACACTCACAGTGTAATTGGTATAATTCCTGTGGTTCACAAGCATGCCATGGCGTTTCAGGTACTCAGCAAGGCTCAGTTAATCTGCCGAGTGCTCATTTCCTCCAGTCTGACCAGCTGAAGCAGCCACAGCCATGCTTCTCCCAGGTGAGGGCCAGGAGAGAGTCCAGGGGCTTGTTTCAGTCTCACCACCCCAGGCGTCGCTTTTCTGATGAAACAGATGCTCTCCCAGCCACCTGCGTTAACAAACCTGTAGGACAGACAGTCTGGTCTGTAAGCACTAGTTGCAGATCCAATTTAAAAATTCCACAGGGCATATCTTCGGGTAAAATGCAGTATCTTAGCAGCTTGGAACCAACTTCCCAAAGGAATGCATGTTATCTTTGACTGTATAAAACACATATAAAGCTTTCCCCCCTCCAGTCTGCACTTTAATTTGACCTCTCAGCTACTGAACACAGATCATACTTTATCATCATATTTTAGCAAAAGGGACACAGATTAGCATAAAAGATACGCATCTGGTTGAGTTTATCTTTAAAAGGATGAATATTGCTTATTTAAATTATATGTCCAGGGGTCAAAGAGTAAAACCAAGCAAGCAAGCAAGCAAAAGCAAACAAACAAAACCCGAACCCTGACAACCTGGAGGTTAAATCATGACTGGAATATATTTGTTCTCTCTCTTAGTCTCAACCTCGCATCTTATGCTTCTTTCTGGGAAGCATTTAAAATAGGCAAATGGAGCTGGGCAAAGCTATCGGTATGTATTAGGTAGAACACAGAGGGTCATTTTCAAAATGAGGGACAATTCTCAAACTCCTGTTTGAAAAGAACCACTTTGCTTGATGTCAGCCGTACCAGTTTCCAAGGAGCAGGTCAACGAGTCTGGAATCTGAATATTCAACCAGACAAATTAATATGGTATTTTAGGGAGAAAAATCACTTTCCCTAAGGCTTTGCCCTTGTCAGATGGGCATAGGAAGATGAACAAGGGAAGACAGTGGGCTTAGCCTGGGCTCTTCCTGTGGGGACAGTTTTGAGTTATCTTAGAGTCAGCCGCAGTGTACCGAGGGCCAGAAAGCTGACTGGGTCTACTCTGAGGCCACTTGTGTCCCTGAGGGAGAGGGCACAGCAGTGCCCCAGGGACACTGGCACATGGAGGTGCATGGCACCCGTCACTGGTGACCTGCACTGTCCTCTCTTGGCCCTGTTGTTGGCCAGCAGCTGTGAACAGTGGTGTCCTGTGAGCATAAGCCCAGGGGTGGTCCCTGCATCCCTGAAGAAGTCTGAGATCACACAGAAAGAAATCCAGACACTAAACGACAATTGCAGTCCTTGTGTGCCTGTCCCCTTCAACTGATCGAATGGCCTTCTGTTGGCACATGTGAGCAGATTTCCCACATTGCCATGTTGTGTTTAAAATGACTTGTTTTATTGAAAAACTCAAAAACTTACAATCTCTGAATTTAGTGTTGTGGATGACTGAAGGACTCTGCTGATACCTTCAGATGCCTGCATTTTCTAGCAGGGACTCAGTTCTAAAATCTGAAGGTTTACCGTTTGTGAAACTGCTTAATTCTATTTGATATAATTCTAAGTTAAAGAAAGCCCCAGATGTTTTCCAGTTTTCTGGAAAATTCCTACACTGGATCATCACAGGGGATCTACAAGAAGTACCTAGTGGTAGGTGGTAATGGATGTTGTAGACAGGAGTGATAACTCTCAGATACTTCATCTACTTGACTGAGGTGTTGTAGATACTGAAGTTTGATGGGTTTTGATTGTCTATACAACGTCAAACCATTTCTTCAGCAGAGGCTAACATTTCCAGTGAAGAACGGAAGAGTGAAAACTGAAAGAAGTTCTCAACCAGCAGAATTCCAAGCCACCAGCACATTTAACCAGTACTTTCAGCTACCCCTGGGTCTGCTGTTAGTTCACCCTTTTCTTTAAGAGTTTTTTTTTTTTTTTCTTTCTTGAGACAGGGTCTTAGTATCCCAGGCTAGATTGAACTTACTATATAGTCAATGATGACCTTGAACTTCTGATCCTCCTGCCTTTACTTCTGTGTGGAAATTGCAGGTGTGCACAGACCTGCCTGGTTCATGGAGATCCCATGGGATCAAACTTGGGGCTTCCAGCATCCTATGTAAGCACTCTAACAAGTTAGCCACAGACCTGAGCCTGCTGTTAAATAAAGGCAGGGGCTTATGCACTCAGGAGAGCTCAGGTTTAGACTACTTTGAGCCAGGCCTCACTGGTAACACTATTTTATCCCTCCAAGTATCCCAGACACTTGTTTAATTGTGGTAACATAAAAGAGAAAGAACAAGAAGCCATGCCATGGATAGACAGAACAGAAAAACCTAAGAGCAAAGAACCATGAATAGTGTCCTTACATGCCTATCTAAAGCTTGCTTTCTATTTGAATATAACAGTCTGGGATGACTGGAGATAAAGGAATATGACTTTGCAGCTGCTCACCTGGGTGTGGTGTGGCTCTTCTGTGGACCACTCAGGCTGCCCCTCCTTCTCTTTCCTGGTTCCAGTCAGGGAGACTTTAGGAAGGACCTGGAACCAGAGAGTCCTTGAAGACAAGCAGGTCTCAGGTCTGGTTTTGGAACTGCTTGGTGGAGCCCGAAACTACAGTTGTCAGGTGTGAGACTGTGGTCTGCCCTAGGCCAGTCTTTGGCTCCAACATATTCCTCCAAGCAGGGCTCTTTAGAATGCAGATTTTAAAAGGCTGAGAGGGGTTGACGCGCTGAGAAGTGAACACATTTAGAGCAGGCTCAAGTGCTAATGGCCAAAGTAAGATCCAACTGAGAAGCCAAGACTTGAGGTTCCTGTGCAGAACTGAGCATACTGTGGTATACTGTGGTTGCCACCCAGGGAGCCGGCAGGTTAGGCTGTTCAGAGGTCCTGCTGATGGCTGTATTTCAGTTTGTGGGCATTACCCCTTCACTGGAGTGAAAATGATGAGCTATGTATGGAAATGTCTTTCCCAGTATTGAGCATTGAACCCAGGGCCCCATACATCCACCGCTATAGTTCTGCTACTGAATCTCCAGGCCTAGAGGAGGTTTTACCAACCAAAAAGGAGGAGCTATTCCCTGGTGTGCTGGGACTGGGTTTCTTCTGGAACAAAGCCTTTTTTTTTTTATAAACTCTTTTAAAATAATTTCATTTCTCTGATTTATGAATCTGGTGACATCTGGGGTATGTGAGTCATCTGTTTTATTCATTGATCTTCTATTTATCTTTATGGATGGTTTTTATAAACTAGATTTATTCTGAAATTTATTCTTGAATTTTGATTTGACTCATCTATAAAGACATCTTTTTCTTACAGCTTGTTTTTAGGAACTGTGAGTAAAGTTCATACCAAATAGTCATTGCAAGTCCTTTTAAGTATGTCCACGATGCCTTAGGGAGAATTAATTGAATTTCGTTTTAGTACTAGATGAGTTGAACTTTGTTTTCTCTTAAAGTTGTTTAATAACCTGGTAATGTGTAGTTTGCATGAAAATACTGCCTAAAACATTTGAACAATAGCTTTAGAAATTCTCATGACATTAATGGTTAAGTTCTTAATTTGGTCTGGAAAATGTGTCCTCTCTTATGTGATATAAGTGTCAATGTGTAAAATGAGTATACCCCGTCACATATCCATATCTTACACCCCATTACAAAGATATATACACATGCCACATACCACACATATACATATACATCTCACACCCTACACACACACACACACACACACACACACACACGCACACACACAAACTGCCAAGATATATACTCATACCACACATATCACACCACACCACACATACAGAGTGCAACCCCATACCCCATATACTTACACATACACACATTATTATAACCAATTACCACACACACATACACACACCACATATCATATATATATATATATATATATATATATATAACACATCTGTACATCCTACATACACAATGCACAAATATACACCAATGCCACATACTACACACATACCACTTCATATCCACATATCTCCATCCTCTCATACAATGCAGAACTATATACACAAGCTGCATGTACATACCATATACACCATGTTACAAAATACCCTTATACACACATTGCATAGACATACATACACACTGCACTACACACATATATGCACTGCATACATAAACACACACCTCACACACCACACACACACACTGTATA